ATGATTATCTGATACAGACCAGACAGTCAGTGGCTCTGGGTCCGGTGCAGCCCGCAGCACAGTGTTCGTTGCAGCAGTCGATGGGTTTGGGGCCGCGGCATCTCCTGCTGCACTGCTCGGCACACGGCAGCTTGGTGACTGTCGGGTCAGAGGCAGATTCATAAACTCACTCCACACAAACCGGCAGGATGGTGGAATGTAAAAAAGAAACAGTGGAAGACTTTACATTTCTGGCAGTGACCCGGTCCGGGTGCCCAACACGACCCGTTAACACAGCCAGGGTCACACTTCTGACCTGCAACACATTCATGTTACCAACGACGTCCAGCCTGGATGACAACATGAATGAATATTTTAGAAATGTTTTCCATACATTGGCGCTCAAACCCGTGTGGTACGATGTTCATGGTGGGATTGCTGCTTTTATCCACGATGTCCCACCAGTTGATGGTTTCCATGTTGCACAGCAGGGGGTTGTGGCTGACCCTCACTCCGCCTGACAGAATCTCTGTTGGAGGCAAAAAACTAGCAATGAATGTCTGTAAAATACAGGTTTTACTCAACAACTGAAAAAATTATTCGTGATGCATTTCAGTCATTTTAAAAATCCATTCAGGATCAACAACAGGAACATGACAGCAGACACCAGAGTAGATACTGACTAGATGTTTCCATCCTTGAACATTTTCAGCCTGACAAGAAGAACCTAAATAATCTGGAGGTTTATTCATGAATGTGACATTTCTGACCGGAGCTTTTCCTTTTTCACTAAACCTTTCTGATTTTGTAAATCGTTTTTGCGGTGAATAAAGAGAAAAGCATAAACCAGCCACCAAAAAAGTCCAGCATTATGAAGCCATGTGTTCACAGCAGAGGCGTGACTCAACCAAACCAATCAAGCAGAACGTCTTTCGTCATCAGGCACAAATTGCCAAGGAGCGGTCTGTTTCCTGCTGTCAGATCTCAATGTTCTGTTGAAAGAAGTCTTTGAAACGATCCTGCAGCTCCACCCACTCCACCATCTGCCAAGAACTCCAACTGACAAACCTTTATTTGCGCAATCCTGTGGGTTTAAAAGCTCCTGAAGCATGCCTTGTCCTACATATTTATGACACATCAGTTAATATTTCCTCAGCTACAGATTTTCTCTGCACTTTCTGTTTGTTTGGGACGCATCCGTAACGTTGACCCAATGAACGTTGACCCTTCTCCTGATTGGTGACTCTTGTTTGTGTTTATAGCATCGTCCAGATGCTGCTTCACCCACCGGTCAGATTGCTGAGCTGCAGATGCTTCAGGCCAACCTGGTAAACGTCCGGTGATGATGGGTCTTTTGGTAGTTGGACATGACCAGCAGGGTGAAGCTGCCGTCGTAGAGGTTCTGTCCCCGGATCAGACGCAGGTTGACCAGTGGGATGGTGGACACCTCATTCATGGCGATCAGGACGTAACCCCCGACTTCCTGGATGGACTAATGGGGCAGAGAGAAAGAGCTGAAGACCTGGAAAACTATCGGATAACCTTCAGCCGAGGCGTTCTGACATTATCAAGTCAGTTCAACATTTATTGGAAACAACTGGAAGCTCAAATCCCAAATTAATGATCAGATTTAAAATAGGTTTCATCACAAAAGGTTGTTTCTTGAGTTTAGGAGCCTTTCTGTGCCTGAATGATTATTCATTGGAAGAACAGATGAAACACTGAACAAAGATCAGAGGAAAAACTGGTTGGAAAGAAAACAGAGATGACATTTGGATCTGGAGCTTTGTTTGCGTGTCAAAACCTTTCAGAAGATGAAAATGTAAACCTTAAAAGAACAAAGAACTGAAAGTGACGAGATCAGTTTGATATGTCAGGTGTTGCAGCGTCTTTAGAAACTTTATCAAGATTTGATCGCATCGCCTGACGCAGCCGCGGCATTGCCTGATGCGGCGGCAGCGTGATGACGTGGCGGACCGGACTCACCTGCAGGAAGGACAGGTCCTGCTGCTCCTGGGTGTAGGTGATCTCCAGGTTCTCCAGAACCACGTTGCAGCCGGAGTACATGGTCTTCATTTTGCTGTAGTGATTGTCCAGCATGGTCATCTGGTTGCTCGTCCCCTGGCACACTGAAAGCAGACACAGTTCACTGCAGTTCCTCTACCGGCCTCTGAGTGGTGCCGTTTCCCCGGTGACCATGGCAACACACAGTTTAAGGAGAAAAGATTCAGTTTTAATTTGCTGCAAGATTAAAAACTGAGTCAGAATAATTTAGTGAGAAATTTACTGCAGCATCAAATTTCTGCTCTTAGAAAATTACAGGCAGGTGATAATTCAGAGCCTTAAAAGGATTAACTCTGTTTTTGATTTTAAAATGTATTATTTCTGGCAAAAAAAAAAAAATATATATATATATATATTAATACCAAACAAACAAAAGTTCTCTTTACTAAGAGAGTCCATAAATATCACCCAATTAATTGTCACTCTTCCTCATTCTTCAGTCGCGTGTCGATGGTTTACGGTTACACCCGTAAAGAGAGGAGGCCAGAGGAGTGGCTCTTCCCAGCAGCATGACAGGAGTTAAACAAGTCAGTGAGGAATGAAGCTCTGCAGCCTGTTAGAAACAAACCAGCAGTCAGGAGTCAGAGGTCAAGGGTCGGTAAGATCTCTGAATGGCTTCTGAACTGAAATCAGTTCCTGTCTCTGAGCAGAACGACTGACAGCAGGATGGTTTCCCTGCCGCACAGATCAGAGATCGAACCATTTCAGGACGGAAGGAAGCCATGTTGGAGCATCATCAGATGAAACGTCAGACTCAGCATCCTGACGGCAGTCAGGACCAATCACAAGGCCAGAGGTCAGAATTGATCAGCTCTGAACTGAGATCAGCAGCACATTTTATAAAAAGCATCAAAACTAAGAACTGCCATCAATTTCTAGCCATAAACACATAAACTGAAAACAAAAATCAGATGCAGGTGAGAAACTTTAGCTTCATTTTTCCCATTTGGTTTCAAAACGACGTTTCCAAGCAAAACTGTTGATAGATTTCTGCTGGACAAACATGAACTGAATGATGGACTGTTCAGGTTAAAGTTATTGATGACTGGATCAGAGCTGATGGACCCCCAGTGGAAATGTCCCACTGACTCTGGGCCTCTCTGACCTCTGGGCCTCGCTGACCTCTGGGCACCGCTGACCTCTGGGCACCCTGACCTCTGGGCCCCGCTGACCTCTGGGCCTCGCTGACCTCTGGGCCTCGCTGACCTCTGGGCCTCTCTGACCTCTGGGCCTCGCTGACCTCTGACCTCTGGGCCTCGCTGACCTCTGGGCCCCGCTGACCTCTGGGCCCCGCTGACCTCTGGGCCCCGCTGACCTCTGGGCCCCGCTGACCTCTGGGCCTCTCTGACCTCTGGGCCTCGCTGACCTCTGGGCCGGCCCTGGACGGACGTCCATCAGATGAACCAACGTGTGTCCAACACTAACAGAGACGTTTGTTTGGACTCCCTGACATGCAGATGATTCTCCCTCAGCTGATCAAACTGATCAAGTCTTTCCTCTGAACTCTGGCTGAACTCCTATTGGCTGACTTCCTGCTGTGATGTCACAGAAACAACACAGCTGAGCTGGGAGTGATTCTGATTGGCTACTGGTTGGCTGAGGGGCCGTCCCATTGGTCGGAGCCTCATGGGGAACGCTCTACATCTGGACTCAGACGTAACGACTTTTCTCTTTTATTATTCCTTTCTTTCCATCTCCATCCCTCCTTCTGTCATCTGTCTTCATCCTGTTTTCTTCCATCTATTCTCCATTTTTTCCTTCCAGTCGCTTTCATCCCTTCTTCCTGTTTCTCTTTCCTCGGCCTGCATCCGTCCTCCCACTCTCCTCCCAGGTGTCTCTTCTCTCCCACTCGTTTATTCCCATCCCTACATCGAAGATTCCCAAACATCCTTATTTTCCTTCTCTACATCTGCCTGCATTCGTTCCTCATTTCTCAGACTCTTTTCTTCGATCTAGTTCAGTTATTCCACAGGAAGCGGCTCTTCCAGGCTGAATTCAGCCGTTCGGCCCAGTTTGTTGATTTCTTTACAGAATCACAACCAGAACAGAACCGGACCAGAACCCGGCCAAAACAATCAAACCGTGACAGGAGATGAGCTCAGAGAAACTCAGGCAAACTGCATGGCAAACTAAACTCGTACATTCATTATTCTGCTTTTTATTTCTAAAATAACTGAAACATAAACAAATAAAAAAATGTGCCAAAGCAAATGTGTCGACAGGCTAAAATATTCTGAAAGATGATCAACCTGATTATGAAAATCCACAAAGCAGGGAACAAAATGCCATAAACCTTTTCATCTCTGGATGCAAAACGACAAAATAAACGCAACATTTGATCCGTCGGCTTCCAGCTCCAGGTTTCCAGGCCATTGTTAAAATACTGAGGAAGGTTCGACTCAGACTGAGTCACATGGAAACAACAAAAATTTCTTTCCTTCCTGTTTTCTATATTTGCTGGTTTTATTCCCTACAGTGTGATTTTTCCTAATCTAAAGTGGAGTCATTGTTCTGAGTGGCTGTAAAGCCCAGATATCCAGTCTGGTTCTGACAGAACAGTGAGTCCGACGTTCTGATGAACGCCGTGTTTGCTCAGGAACTGGTCGGGCCCGTCTGCAGCAGCGCCGCTGAAACCCGAGAGGTAAAGATAGAACCCAATGACGACTGAACGCCATCATCAGAGAAACATTCATGTCCCAAACTGCAGACTTCCAGCTCATCTTCATGTTCATCAGTGCAAAACACAAACCGTAGCAAATGTTGCACATAATGATCATTATGTCACTGAGACAACATGATGTTGTGATACAGTTTGACCTTCAGCTCCCCTCTGTTTCGTCCATTTTAATGTAATTATGCAGTTATAAAAACAATGAAGCTGATGTGGCAAAACAGGACAAATCCCTGGAGAATCCCAGAGCCCAGCATTTCATCTGACATGGAAACGACAAACCTTTCTATTGGTCAGCTGAACAGTTTTTTTCTGTCTGCTGCAAAATGAACTTTTGAAACTCCTTCCTCTTTTCTAAAGCCTTAAAAGTCCAAATTTTCCAAGAAAAGAGCAGAACTGAGGCAGACGGACCAAAACGCGTCACATGTTGGTTTAACGAACTTCGTTCTGTTATCACATGAATCTCTGCTTGTTTTACTTGCTGCCGTCAGATTAGTGGAAATGAATGTTCCTGAAACTCTGGACCTGCAGCTGATCACAATCACAGCGCCGGCCAATCAGAGGGAGGATGGTTCAGCCTTTTTCTCAAAAACACAGGAGATGGAGGGAGAGATAAGAAACACACACACACACACGCACACACACACATCTGCAACCTGACAGCCCATAGTTTCTCTCATTGCAACACTCCGGTTTTGGTTCTGCTGCTCGACAAACGTGTGTTTGTCAGGACGATTGGATTACCAGTAATCGACCAGCTGATGTTTTCCTCAACACGCGTTCTGTGTTCAGCCTGAACTGAGCCTCCCTGTTTGAGCCGCTCAACCCATGAACCCAAACCGGACCGGGACATGTTGACCCAAAGTCAGACTTTAGTCCAGAAACAAGTTTCGGTCCAAACTGGATCTTTCCAGGAACGATGCTGCAGTCTGCAGATCGGAGCTTTTCTCTGCTCCTTTCCTGATTTTAGAATGAATTCCTCAGGATTTTAACCTTCAACTCCTCGACAGCTTTTCATTCCTCCTGTTTCTGAACCGATGATCCCAGATGACAGAAAAACAACGACGGATTCTCTCAGTGAAACTGCTGAGTGGATCTGAGGAGGTCAGAGAACCAGGAGAAAACCTCCAGATGCACAGAGAGAACATACAAACTGGGATTCAAACCCACAACCTTCCTGCTGCAAGGCATCAGTAACAACTGATCCAGCAACATGAAAGCTACTAATTTAATAAATCCATAACGACTGGACATGCAGACGTTTGTCTTCACTCCTCTGCTCATTCTGACGCCTAGAAAACCTGAAACTATTCAAATAAAACTCAGAGCAGGAAGATGAGCAACTCATAAAACTCTTGATTAATGGCAGGAACAATCTCCCAAACTGCATGAAACCAAACTGAATCTCAGGTTGAAGAAAAACCTTTAGAAGAAAGCAGCAGATTTGACCTGCTGTCATTATTTTTCTAAACTTTGTAGAAATTGAAAACACCTTCTGTTTATCTGTGGTTCATGTTTCTAAAACTAAAAAGGATTCATTGATCTTTGCATCAAGCAGTCTGACTCGCCTGCAGAGGAAGACCTCTGTCTGTGATAAACAATCTGTGCGTCTGGTTCGTCAGGTTGAACCTGTGCTTGAACAGAAACCCGGTTTGTTTTCAGATGGAGTCAGTGAAAGCTGCTGGCCTGCCTGGACCTGCAGCTCCGTGTTTCTGTCTCCGTTTTCCTTCCTGCTCATCGGCGGTCCTGTTCCTACAGGCGGCTCCAATTGTTTATGACTGGAAACATTAAACGTGTCTCTAATGAAAGTTTGCTGACATGGAATCGATAGTTTTACGCTGCGACCGCCTGCAGCTCCGATCGATGGAAACGTTTGTGGTTCCACTTGAAACCGTTCTGGTTTTAAACTGCAGTTAAAAGCTTTTATTGATTCCTATGAGGCAGATCGACGACTCGGCTGACCTTCAACATCCACTGAGTCACCAGCAGCACAAAGCAAAGCAGCAGCAACACGGATCATTCCTGCACTTTATCAGCAGCTCACTGTGTTTCAAACATTCCGTCTAAAAATGTTCATGAACTGAAAAAGAAGCCAAAGGAAAATCCAAACAAACCCAGTAACAAACTGGACCCTGAACTGGAACCTGAACTGGACCCTGAACCTGAACTGGACCCTGAACTCAGGTCCCAGTTCAGGGTCCAGTTCAGGTTCCAGTCCCAGTTCAGGGTCCAGTTCAGCCCAATCTGCCCAAAAACCAAAACCATCAATTTAAGTGAATTTAACTGAAACAGTGTTTCATAAAAAGCAGCTCTGAGTTTATTGTAGTTTCAGCAAAATAATCATCATTCTGATTTTCTTTGTGTTGTCATGGAGACGTTTCTCAGACTTTAAATAGGACAATAAGTTCAGATGAATCTGTGGAAAATAATGACAGCTTGTTGTTATTCCCCTCAGTGTCTGCTGGATGGTGACCTTGACCTCTGACCTGCAGCAGGTTCCCATGTTGCTCTGATCAGAACATTCTGACTGGGAGCTGCTTCATCCTGCAGGATGGAAGCTGCAGCTCTTTGACCTTTGCTCCTGAAGGTCACAGCAGGCCGAACAGGAAACGGGTCGACTTCGGTGTGTGTTAGCGGTGTGCTAGCAGTGTGTGTTAGCGGTGTGTGTTAGCGGTGTGTGCTAGCAGTGTGTGTTAGCGGTGTGTGTTAGCGGTGTGTGTTAGCAGTGTGTGTTAGCGGTGAGTGTTAGCGGTGTGCTAGCAGTGTGTGTTAGCGGTGTGTGTTAGCGGTGTGCTAGCAGTGTGTGTTAGCGGTGTGTTAGCGGTGTGTGTTAGCGGTGAGTGTTAGCGGTGTGCTAGCAGTGTGTGTTAGCGGTGTGTGTTAGCGGTGTGTGTTAGCGGTGTGTGTTAGTGGTGTGTGTTAGCGGTGAGTGTTAGCGGTGAGTGTTAGCGGTGTGCTAGCAGTGTGTGTCAGCGGTGTGTGTTAGCGGTGTGTTAGCAGTGTGTGTTAGCAGTGTGTGTTAGCGGTGTGTGTTAGAGGTGTGTTAGCGGTGTGTTAGCGGTGTATGCTAGCAGTGTGTGTTAGCGGTGTGTGTTAGCGGTGTGTGTTAGTGGTGTGTGTTAGCGGTGTGTGTTAGCGGTGTGTTAGCGGTGTTTGTTAGCGGTGTGTTAGCGGTGTGTTAGCGGTGTGTGTTAGCGGTGTGTTAGCGGTGTGTGTTAGCGGTGTGTGTGCCTCGCCTGCAGCGCTGTGCGCGGCTCGGAGCGAGACGCTGCTTGTCCTCAGCCTGCAGCTCCGTCTCTCTGCAGCTGATAGAGAAAAATTCCAGCTTTGGTTTCATCCTGACAGTTAACCGTAACGAAGCACTGTTTACTGCTGCAGTGCTGCAGCACCGGGTCACGGCTCTGCTGCAGACGGATTAGCAGAGGGTGACGGTGCTGCAGCAGGGTGACGGTGCTGCAGCAGGGTGATGGTGCTGCACCAGGTGACGGTGCTGCAGCAGGGTGATGGTGCTGCACCAGGTGACGGTGCTGCAGCAGGGTGATGGTGCTGCACCAGGTGACGGTGCTGCAGCAGTAACTATCTTCAACATTTCCTGGTTTCTGTCCCGTTCGTCCAGATGATGACCTGCTGTTCCCTCACATCCAGTTTTCTGATAAAATCCTGATCAAATAAACCTGATCAGATTTTTGTAATGTTTTTAAAGCAGACGAATCATTAAATTCATCTATTCATGGATATGAATCATATAGATTTAACGATTCATCTGCTTTGATTCAGTTTATGTCTCTGTGTTTTGCTGAAACTCGTTTCATTTCCTGGAATCAAACCAGAAACGTTCAAAACGAGACGAAGGAGGAGAATCATGGAGGATTAAAAACTCTTAGATAATAAAAATGAAAGAATGTAGTTAAAAATGTTTGCCTAGTTTTGTCTCAGTGTTGTTCTTTGTTTATTGTTCTGTTAATATTTCGAGTTTCTGATTCAGAACCAGAATCTGCAGCTGCAGACCTGTGTGAAAACAGAGGCCATCCAGCAGCTCTGAGTGACCTTTGACCTCCTGGCTCTGATCCCACACTGACTGCAGGTTGTTCTAACCGGGTCCAGCAGAGCGGCCTGTTAAATCCTGCAGACCTTTTCCCGGCTCCATTACTGGCATTCCTCACATTCCTGCCAGGAAAATCCCTGGAGCTGCATCAGACAGAACCGTCCAACCCTGAACCCACTGGGCCCGGTTCTGGTTCTGGTTCTGGTTCTGGTGAACCCTCCACTCTGATCCACAGATAAGAACAAAATAATCCCACCAGGGCGTTCGGTTAGCTGAAGATCATATTTATAGTTTTTAATCTGAATCTGTTTTTGTTGCTGCAAAATCAGATTTGCAGCAACAAATCAGTTTGGTCCAAACTGGGACCAAACTGGTAACAAACTGGTAACAAACTGGGACCAAACAGGAGAAAGACACAAAAAAACAAATTAAAGACCAAATGTGTCAATGTGGAAACACAAAGAAACTCAAATCCAGGAAAGAGAAACTAAATTTAAAAAGTGAAACAAAACTTTTAAAAAAACTTCATACTTTAAACCAGAGGCCCAATAAACCCAATAATCCATATTAGCAGATAAACCAGACTGATCAGCTGATAAATTCAATTACTGAAGTTCACTAAGCCCCGCCCATTCTGAGCCACGAGCCAATCAGATCTCCAGGATCCACCAGATCAGCTGAATGGTTTCAGTCCTGCTCAGTATGCCAACAGCATTGCTATGGTTCCATTTAAGCTTTTCAGTGTGTTCAGTTGACAATGAACAACACACACACACACACACACACACACACACACACACCACACACACACACACACCACACACACACACACACCACACAAACACACAACCACACACACTTACAGACACACACACACAGACTCAGATACACACACACACATAAAGCCAAGGTCCTTCCAAAGAGTCAACACACTCACACACACACACACACTCACACACTCACACACACACACACACACACACACAGAGACCTTGTGTTTTCGGCTGCAGTCTCAACATTCAGTCGTTTCTCTGAAGTTCAGGAACAAAAAACAAAAATCGTGATAAAACGGTTCAGAGTCTCAGGATGAAGGAGAGTGAAGGTTATTATGTTTATTAATGTTATTAATGTTATTATGTTATTAATATTATTAATGTTATTAATGTTATCAATAACTCAGTGAAACATGAATGATTTCAACGTTGCTGAACATTTTCACCAACATAATGAAACCAGTTCGTCTCACATTTCTCTCTATTTGCTGTTTATAATTAAAAATGGCTCCGGGTCGTTGAGCCACTTCAGGTTTTATATTTCAGGTGAATCCGTCTTTACCTCAGACTCCCAGCATGCATTGCGTCACTCAACATTCTGGACTGCAAACCAAGCATGATGCGTGTTTCTCTAAACGGATTGCATGTCTGGTCGTATTTCAGAGGGTTTATTGTTAATTATTTTAATGTTCTGAGTTGATTTATTAAATGATTTAAAAGGCTGCGCCGTCCCTTTAAGAAGCTGTTCTGGAAGGAGGATCTCATTGTGAGTCAGTCTGACCTTTCAGAGCCAAACTCCTGCAGCTTCTGAGTCATTTCTGCTCCTGATCCGAACCAAACCGGATCACACCAAGTCCATGTGTTAGAACGGCCTAGTCAAAGTCCAGGCCCAAATCCAGCTGAGAATCTGTCATGAAACTTTAAACAGGCATGAACAGACCTTCTCCATCTGATCTGTCTGAGTTTATGAAGCTTTACCAAGAAAATGGGCAAAAGTTTTTGGTCTGCAGATGTAAAATCAGAATCAAATGTTTACAAAATGAAACAATTTATAACTCGATTTTTCTTTCATGAATCTAATATCTGTGGAGCTTCGTCTCATAAGATCTCAGAAAATAAGCAAAACTTTCTGACTGTAACACAAAACGATCTGAGGGTGTGAAAACTTTTATATTTCCTCTAAAACCTCAGCAGGTTAAAAAATCTTCATTTTATTCTGTAAAATGTTTCCAGACGTTCTGCTGTTGGTTCTGGTTCTGCGGTCCATTCAGAACCAGAACCGTCCTGCGAACCGAACATATGAATTATAAAAGTTACAAATAAAACTGATCAAAACTTTTTACTTTACATCAAATCAACTGATTGAAAATTATTGATGAAAACGAAAAATTAAAAATCTAAATATGCAAAAATAATTAAATATCAAAAACATTTGAGTTTCTAAACTTTTCTCTGGTTTCATTCATTAAGTTTTTTTCATTCAGCAGAACCGGAAGATTTTATTTTATCCTCTATCATACTGGACCCAACCAGAACCACTGTGGGTCGGGTTCATCAGAATCTGGAGAACCGCAGAAAAGTTTGGTTCTGATCCAACAGCAGAACCAGAACAGAACCAGCAGCAGATCATCAGGTTTTATTAAAATGATCAGATCTTAATATCTAATATTTAAATGTTCCGAATATTTTTCTCAAGTTTCATCCTGATCATAACTTGATGGAAAATCATTTCCAGGTTTAGAGAAATTATTTTAAATCATTTAATTTATTGAAATTAATGTTTAATATCAACAGAAAAAGGAAACAAATCTGAACTCAGCAGAAACTTGGAGGAAACAAAACCCAAACCCGTCAGAGCAGAACCAGAGCCGACCAGAACCCGACCAGAATCAACCAGAACCCGACCAGAACCGACCAGAACTGATCAGAACCCAGAGCCTCACCTTTTCTGTCCGGGTCGGTGCAGCAGCAGCAGCCGATGCCGAGCAGCAGCAGCAGCAGCTGGGCGGCTCCACTGGGCTGGACGTCCATGAACGGTCCGGAACAAACTGGAAGGTCAGCTGAGTGGGTCAGACTGCGGCTCCATGCGCCGAACAGAACCGAACCGAACCGGGAGGGAAACTGGAGCTGAATGACGGGACAGAACACATTCAGGGCTCAGCCCAGCAGAACACACACCTCCAGCTCACACACTCCTCCTCCTTCACACACACACAGACACACACACTCCTCCTCCTTCACACACACACACTGACACACACACACACTCCTCCTCCAGCTCATTTGACCTCATTAAAGTTCTGATCAGTTTGTTTGATCAGAGATCAAAGTTTCCCAGAAAGTTCAGAACCAGAAATAAAAATCTAAAAACAGAAATGAGAAACATTTTGTGAAACAGCAACTTTAAATTGTTCTTAAAGAGTTTACAAATATAAAATGTATTTATTTTATAAAATAAATATTTATAAATATTTCATTTTAGTCCAGTTCACACAACACGATTTTAGAAAAGTCGGCCGATTCTGAAACCGAGACATCAAACACCAACCGATTTAAATTGTATCGGTTCGATCGTAGAGTGTGAGGTTTCTAATGCCAGATACAAAATCCCTTCAAATTAAAAGTCTGCACTACCTGAATTTAGAGTAAACAAACAAACATGGACGACGACGTTGAAGTGGAAACTTTAGTTTAACCCAAAAAATATGAAACCAAAAATCAAAGCTTTGGATTAAGATCTGGAGAATCGTGAGCAAAGGTTATATTTGTTGCATCACAACATGGAGGTAAATTTTTTAAATTTTTTTATAAAAAATACTTTTTAAAGTTCTCGGTTTTGTCATTTAATTAACCGTTTACATATAATGTTATAATTTTTTGCTGTGTTTATGTTGTTACAGAATATATGCATATAACAGAATGAGAGCAGCTTAAAGTAGAAGAAAGCATTTTCTGCATATTCGTTTTTAGAAAATCAGATGTTATTCTGCCAACTGACCAGAAGCTTAACGTATTCCAGATCCTTTAATCGAAACTTATTGTATTAGACTTAGACTTGTGCTTTATTGATCCCTTGGGAAGACTCCCTCATTATATCAATATTGTTTAATATTGTATTATGACTGCAGAATAAAATCAAATGCGCCATTTCAACCAAAGATTGGAATGCGCTTCTCAACAAGATGAACTCTGCAATAATTTTATAATTATGTTTCATTTAAAAAAACAACAAGTAGGGGGAAAACCACAGACATTGCGATGAATGAGCCAAGATGATTAAACACATTCAGTATCCTCCATTTTAGATCAAAGTGGTTCCGACGTTCCACCGACTGGACCGGATCAGTCCTAACCCTAACCCTATCCTAACCTTACCCTAACCCTAACCTTACCCTATCCTAACCCTAACCTTACCCTAACACACTACCGGATGATCGGTTACGATGATCTTAGAACTCAGAAGGTTCTAAGATCGTCTTAAGGGTAAAATCGGGCCAATAGATCATGTAGTGTGAACTGGGCTTAATATGTAAACAAAAATAAAAATATCCAACCAGATAAAAATGAAGGTCAGCAGACAGTAAAGTTCTGAGGTTCTGGACCTCAGAACAGATGAGCACAGCGCCACCTGCTGGCCAGGGAATGTCCAGCAGTTTGAAACTCAAATTACTGGCAAGAAAAATATTCATTTCTGAAAATAAAATTATGTAACATTTATCAGAGCTGGATTTTTATTCTCTCTTCTTCGCTGATTCAGTTTTTATTTCATATTTTCAATATTTTTATTTTCATAATTAAATTATCTTTGAGATTTTTAATCTTATTAAATGTTTAAAACTATAATGGTTGCAGTGATATTCAGTCGTGATTTAATCAGTTTTTCTGTTTTGCTCAACAATGTTTTTTAATCTAAACCACAGACTTAATATTTTACTTGCTTTTTGTTTTTGATGTTATTATTTTTCTGGTAAATCTGCAGCTGCTGCAGATTTACCAGCAGCTGCTGGTAAAACAAGTGCAGCCCAGCAAGACAAGGGCTGCACTTGTCTTGCTGCTGCTGCAGCAAGACAAGAGCTGCTGCTGCTGCAGCAGCAGTGACGACTCTTTGTCTCAGGTGAGCTGAAAGGTTTCGGTTTTCTGCTGAACTGCAACAGGAAGTAAAAGTTTGGTTAATCTGATGCTTTAGATTATCAGGTTTAATCGGGTGAAGCAGAAAAATCACAGATGAATTTATTATTAGATGCATTTATGAAAACTACTTTAAAATTTGATCTACTGTCATTTTTAGCTTTTGTTTTCAGAAATGTTTAAATTTTTAAATTAAAACTCACATAAAATAGTCAGGGCTGCACAGTGGCGCCTTCTTGCCTTGCAGCAAGAAGGTCCTGGGTTTGATTCCCGGCCCGGGTCTTTCTGCACGGAGTTTGCATTTTTCTCCCTGTGCATGCTGGGTTCTCTCCGAAAACATGACTGTCAGGTTATGTGTCTTTCCAGATGTGTGTGTGTGTGTGTGTGTGTGTGTGTGTGTGTGTGTGTGTGTTTGTGTGTGTGGTTGTTTGTCCTGTTCTCTCTGTGTTGCCCTGCGACAGACAGGTGACCTGTCCAGGTGACCCGCCTCTCGCCCGGAACGCAGTTGGAGAGGAACCAGAACCTCCCGACCCGTTAGGGAGAAGGATGACGGAAAATGGATGGATGGATAAAATAGTCACAACAAAATCTAAAATATTTACTCATACTTCTTTTGTCACAAGAAGGAAAAACTTTATAGTTTTATTCTGAACAAAGTTTATAAAACATCAGAATGTAGTTTAAATGTCAGCAGGATGTTTTTCTGTTTTCACAGATTCATGCATTCATAATTCATTTCCATTTTCTGCTTGTTGTTTGTTTTCCTCATATTTCACTTCATGCCAACGAAGCAGGAAAAACTCACTAATGGATTTTGTTCTTTCGTCTCTAACAGCAGCTGACAGCCAGTTGCTGGGCAGAAACGGCTCTGAACCTGAACCTGGACCCGACCAGAACCTGGACCCGGACCCGACCCGGACCGGGACCAGGACCTGGACCCGACCCGGACCAGGACCAGGACCCGACCAGAACCAGGACCCGACCAGGACCAGGACCCGACCAGAACCTGAACCTGGACCCGACCAGAACCTGGACCCGGACCCGACCCGGACCGGGACCAGGACCAGGACCCGACCAGAACCAGGACCCGACCAGGACCAGGACCCGACCAGAACCTGAACCTGGACCCGACCAGAACCGGGACCAGGATCCGACCAGAACCTGAACCTGGACCCGACCAGAACCAGGACCAGGACCAGAACCAGGACCAGGACCTGGACCTGAACCCAGTCAGTGACAGAACAACACATGAATCTGATTGATGGTTTTCATGGAGGGAAAGTCAGAGAAAAACTTTAGAATCACTGAAAACGTTTCAGCGATTCCTGGATCACCTTTTGGTTTGTTTCTGGGAAAACTTTGCATTTAGACACTGAAAGACACACACACACACACACACACACACACACACACACACACACACACACACAGCTGCCCTGATCAAATCGCTGATCTCAGCAGAAAGCAGCAGATCGCTCCGAGGACCAGGATGTAAAATGGATGAAACTTTGGGATGGAAACGTGATAAAACAAAGTTTAAAGAAAGAACAAGTGGAAAACATGGATCTGTTAACATCTCGTTGATCCCAGAACCACCGGAGGAAAGAAAAACATCCAGAAACAAGTGAAATATGCAAACAGGAGGATTGATCTGAGTGTTGGATCAATAATCACTTCATCAGTCAGAACGGCCTCAGGCTGTGAACTCAGTCTGGATGAGAATCCGGTTTGATCCGGTTTGGTCCGATCGGATCTGCAGAGGAGGAATCCCAGCAGAACCTCTGAGCGGTTCTGATTCTGTTGGGCTTCGTTTCTTCTTCAGGTTCTTCAGTTCGTCTCCAGATTCGACTCGGCTTTTCTTCATCCTGCAGATTGACCTCACCTGTTTCTGAGCCACAGGGAAAAAAGATGCAATAAATATAAACACTTAAAAAGGTTTACGTTCCTGATCAGTAAATGGTTCTGTCTTGATTTGATTTTAAATTTTTTGTTCATGTTTGTAATTAAAGTCAAACCTTCACAGATGAACTAAACTGAAACAGTTTTTATGATTTTCTCTTCACTTCCTGTGGGAATCAGGTTGTTTAAAACTAGGATGGTTAATAAATCGATATGAAATAACCAAACAAAAGTTACTTTGGATCCTCTGCAGGTTCTTATGAGACGATCAACTTTTAAAAAAGTCAATCTAAAATGTTCACAGAAAAAATAGAAATGTTTGAATTAGTTACATTTTATTCCGTCTTTATTAATATAACTGAATCATAAATGATATTTCTGATGTTCACAGCTTGTTTTGTGGTTCTGTTGGACCAGAATGGGTCCAGAAGGAGATCCAGATTATCCATTAATCCAAGGTCTTGGTGAAATCTGGGTAAAAACCAGAGAATTGAAATGGATCCATTTATTTACCTGTATTTTAATCCAGGTGTTGAAGTTTTATATTTATTCATAATAAATAAATAAACTCTGATCTGGATGGTGAATGTTTCAGGACCTCCAGCTGTTAATCACATAAAACAGAAAAACAGATTTTAATCCATTCATCACTGCAGGTTGAGTTTGTTTTATTGTTTTATTCATTTTACAGATTAGAGGGTTTTTGGTTTTTTTGCATTGTCAGAAGATGAAACTCAGAGCAAACCGACTGGAATCATCATCGAATGAACGAATGAATGAATGAATGAATGAATGAATGAATGAATGAATGACAGGTTTCATTCCAACATAGAAAGTAATAGATTGTTGCACTGTGGCGCCCTCTGCTGGCTGCAGCCTGTCAACGTCTCAACGGAACCTTCAGCAGAAACAGATTCATCTACCAATCACTGAACAGATTCATCTACCAATCACTGAACAGATTCATCTACCAATCACTGAACAGATTCATCTACCAGTCCCTGAACAGATTCAGTCCTGACTCAACCTCCTGTTGTTTTACTTCTTTGTTTTTAACAACAACTTTATGAAAAATGATTTAGTCTTTATCTTGTGGCTCTCCACCAGGACGGCATCGATTGGGGGCAACAACAACCAGTGAGCCATAAATACGTTTTGTTGTTGGAGATCCAGCTTCTAGTTTTACAAACTCTAAGAAAATTCAGCTCAAACTAAAGAACAAAACTAAAAATATTCACTGTTTAAACAGGAAATGGATGGATTATTGATCGATTGATGGATCAAATCAGATTATTCACTAAAACAATTTGAGATTTAGAAAACATCCAGAGGGAACCTTTGGATGGATGGATGGATGAATGGATGAATGGATGGATGGATGGATGATGGATGGATGGATGGATGGATGGATGGATGGATGGATGATGGATGATGGATGATGGATGGATGATGGATGGATGATGGATGATGGATGGATGATGGATGGATGGATGGATGATGGATGATGGATGATGGATGGATGATGGGATGATGATGGATGGATGATGGATGGATGATGGATGGATGGATGGATGGATGGATGGATGGATGGATGGATGGATGGATGGATGGATGGATGATGGATGGATGATGGATGGATGGATGGATGGATGGATGGATGATGGATGGATGATGGATGGATGATGGATGGATGATGATGGATGGATGGATGGATGATGGATGGATGGATGGATGATGGGATGGATGATGATGGATGGATGGATGGATGGATGGATGGATGGATGGATGGATGGATGGATGGATGATGGATTGATTCTGTGTTTTTCTCTTTCTTCTACATTCTGGTCACATCAGACGTTTTTATTGATGAATCATTGATATTCAATCTGGACAGAAAGTATCACAGAATCAAAGATGCTTTAAGTTTCTTTGCTTCATGTTTGGTGTAAAATTGACCAAAATAACCAAAATATTTCCGTTTTTTCCAGAGAGTGAACCTGGATTGATTTAGATTTTGCTTTAGTCCGTTTTTGTTTCACACTGGATCCGCAGGTTTCACCTGTTAGACCCCCCCCAACAACCCCCCTCACCTGCTGGATTAAAACGTCACTAATTAACCCTAATTTGCTGTGATTATTATGGGATGTTCTGGCTGTGAGTGGGCTGTGGGACCGGCTCTGTGTGGGAGTGGTCTCCTGCAGGTCACATGGTCCGGGCCTTTGTTGATGATCCGGGGAGAAAGAACAGGATCTCGGAGAGAAAGGAAAGAAAAGTACCGGTCCGACTCCGACCCACCGAGCCTTTCCGCCCAGCCTCCCCGGCGCACAGTCGCTCCTGCTCGGCCTGGATGCTGCAGCTGCGGCCCCTCCGGAGCTCCACCTGGATCGGTCGTTCCGCGGCGCCCCGCGGTCGGTTCTTGTCCCCGCCGGTTTGAGCGCTTGGCAGCGGGGGCTGGGGGATGGAGGCTGTGTCCGGGCTGTGAGGTGTGGGGGTCGGTGTGTGTGTGCAGCCCCCCGGGCCTCTGCTTTGTTCCCCTGGCTGCTGTGCAGGATCCTCCCTCCCGGCTGCTCCAGCCTGTTTCTCCTGGAAGCGATTCTGTTTCTCCAGAGGAGTTCCAGCAGGACGCATGGACACAAAGAGGATTTAAGGATTAGATTTTTGGGCTGCTCTCTGTGTCTCTCATTCCGGATCAGTTTAGAAGAGGAAGGAGCCAGAAAACCCAGATTCCTTCCATTTCTCCCATTTTTTCCTCCAACCTCCATTCAGCTGCATCCCCCCGACCCCCCTCCGTCCATCATGGCTCCTCTGCGCCGGGTCTCCTGGTTCTGCTGCCTGCTGGTTCTCCTGGGTCTCCCCGCAGCGCGGGGCTCGTTCCCCCGCAGCGGAGGCGGCAGCGCGGACTGCGGCCCCGGGAAGGCCGCGGAGTGTCCAGGTGAGGCCCGACACACACACACACACACACACACACACACCTGAAGCTGCAGGTCAGAGGTCACTGGCTGCAGCCTTATTGTTTCTGCCCTCTGATCACGTGATTGAGGTGCTGTCATCCCCTGTTGTCATGACGACCGAGCAGGATGATAAACCAGCTCTCAAGGATAACAGGAGGTTCGTGACGTCAGCAGCAGGTTAAAGAGACCTGAGTGGTGATGCAATCAGACCCACAGATGTGTGCGGTGTGTGTGTGTGTCTGTGTGTGTGCGGGTGTGTGTGTTTGTGTGTGTGTGTGTGTGTTTGTGTGTGTGTGTGTGTGTGTGTTTAGGTGTGTGTGTGTGTGTGTGTGTGTGTGTGTTGTGTGTGTGTGTGTGTGTGTGTGTGTGTTTGTGTGTGTGTGTGTGTGTGTGTGTGTGTGTGTGTGTGTGTGTGTGTGTGTGTGTGTGTGTGAGTTCTGGCCGGGTCTATTCTGGGTTTAATTACAGGCTGGGAGGTTCTGGGCGTTTCTGACAGATTCATCAAACCGCGGCTCAGATTTATGGCAGCTGACCTCAAACAGAACCTCAGCTGGATCTGACCGCTGAGACCGGAGGGTACAGAGTTACACCGGACCGGGTCAGTCAGCTGCAGCCTCAAACCCTCTGAAACCTGCAGATTTACTGTGAGATCCAGTCATTACAGAATGAATCAGTGATGAACGTCTCAGACGCTCTGAATCCATCAAACATTTCGGTTCTGAAGCCCAGAGGAGGTCGGTACCATCTAGACCTCTGCTGGTCGACTCCGTGCTCCATGTTTCACTGCAGATCCTCAAAACTGCAGAACCTGCGGGACGTTCTGCAAAACGTCTGAGGTTCTGCAGAACGTCTGAGGTTCTGCAGAACGTCTGAGGTTCTGCAGAACGTCTGAGGTTCTGCAGAACGTCTGAGGTTCTGCAGAACGTCTGAGGTTCTGCAGAACGTCTGAGGTTCTGCAGAACGTCTGAGGTTCTGCAGAACCAGCTGCAGGTTGAACATTCCAATTGATGGGAAATGTTCAATCTCAGAGTATTTGAGTCACATTTAAAGAATAAATGTGAAACATTTATGTCTGATGTTCCAGGCTGTATGAAACTGTGCAGAGTGAAGGATGAATGGATGAATGGATGAATAATGGCCGCCACTCCATCAGCAGCTCAAAGGAACTGAGATTCTCTCTAAACTCTTCTAGCTGTTATAACGACACAAATACCAAATATACTTCAATATGAATTATGACACAAGTGGAAACAAACTGCAGTTTTTCTTCTCTCTGCTGTTTCAGCCAATCAGATCCAAGGAAAGTCAATCTGCTCCTGGATTGGCTGCTTCATCAAGGCTAGCAGCTTGTAGCATTGTGTCTCAATATTTCAGCTCCGTAAGCTGCATTTTATTCCAACATTTTAATAAACTCCAGGAAACCAAAGAGCAGCGAATATGAAGAGAGTCCAGTTTTTAAAATATCTTCGAGCCTTTAAAGAATCAATAATCAATCATTCAATCATTTTCTGTTATTAAGTTGTGAAGCATTTTTTTCCTGATCCGTTTCTGATGAAAACATTTCCGGTTCTGGTTCTGGTTCCAGTTCCGGTTCTGGTTCCAGTTTCGGTTCTGGTTCTGATTCTGGATCAGTTCCTCAGAGCCCAGATGTACGGTGGCCCAGGAGGATCCATCCGAGATCTAAACCCACTTTATATGACATTTAACTTCTTATAATTTAAAGTCAAATTTAAATTTAATATTTTTTTCAGGTCTGAAAGGAGAAAATATTTAAAATGTAAACATAATTTAGTTGTCAGGTTTTATTTCTCGTTTCTATTCAAATATTTAGTTTTATCTGTTGAAGTTCTTGTTCAGTTCATGGATCATTTTATTCATGAATCAGATAAATACTGAAACCAGTTTTTGTTTTGAATTGTTCAGTTTGGACCTGGATCTGGGTCCAGATTCTCCGGGTCAGATCAGAACTTAAACTGGATCTTAAGCTGGGAGACATCAGAACATGAAGGTTTTACTGGATGAAACAGAAACAGGTTTAAATCTGATCTAAAATCTCTGATTGGTTCAGAAATGATCATAAAATCCTTCATGGGAAAATAAAACTGATGTTTCCTGGTTTATAAAATATGTGTAAAGTCTGAACCAACCAGCTGCAGTGAATCTGATCTGATGTTTTATTTTCAGGTTCAGTTGATCCTGAATTTATGCTCCAAATATTTGATCTGATTATTTTGAGTTTTGATGAAGCAAAAGATCCTGAAACATTTTGAATTTGATCCTTTTTCTCAGCAGACAGTTTGACTGAAGTTCTGTTTCTGGAACTTTTCTGGACCTTTCAGTTCAGACTGTTGGTTCTGATTGGACCTGCTGCGGTTCTGGAGGAGTGAACATGGTTTCTCTGTTCTGGTTTGACTCAGACGGATCAGCAGAACCTGAGAAAACGATTCCAATATTTGTAGTTAAGTTCAGTTTCAGATGAACTTTGATGGATTTTCTCTGATCTAAATGGAAACAGGAAGGCTGGAACAGATCCTCTATGGGCAAGATGCTCCACTCGGCCTCAGATCTGAACTTTAGTTCAGAATGAAAACAGAAAGATTTTAGTGAAACTTTAAACATCTGAGATTAATAATTCTTGTGAAGAAAAACTAATTGATCATTTTTAGGTGAAAAAATTAAAACAATTTCATTAATCATCAAACAATTTACAGCTCAAAAATAACAGCAAGGGTAACTTTTGTGAAGCAGAAATTTATTTAAATAATTATCTGTAAAATGATTTGTACAGTTTTTCTAACCCGAACATGTCGGCTGATTATTATTATTATTATTATTATTATTATTATTATTATTATTATTAATGTTGAAAAAACGGGCAGAATCAGGATGTGAAGACGTTTTTAGTCATGATTAAAACTATCGATTATTAATCAGATAAAAATGAGCAACTTTTTGTACAATATTAGAAATTGATTAAAAGTCCTGAAGAAACACATTAAAACATTTTTTAGGTGAAAAAAATGTTTTATTGGCTGAAATGCAGAAAACAACCTTTCATTATTAAAATCTTCATTTGTAGCAAAGGATGTATCTGCAGCTAAAGTATCAAAATGTTTCTATTGACTGAACATCAGTTCAGAGTAAAACTGATCGATTGATTATTTATTGATCACACTATTAAAACTGAGCCATTGAAGTTAAAACTAATTTTTCCAGAGTTTTGCTTTATTGTTGTTCTGCTCAGAGTCTTTATTCTCCAGTTAACGATTAATTGGCTATAAATTAATTGACTGTTTCAATTAATCATGAATAATCTGATCAATGTGATCAGAACCTGTTAAACCAGGAGCTCTGTGGATGAGTCCCAGTTTGGACTGGTCAGGATCCATCAAGGTGACTGGTGGTGAGCCGATCGGTCCAAACCAACACTGGAGCTCTTGTTGCTGCTGGTTCTGGTCCTGTTTGGTTCCTGGCCTGAATAAAAGCATCAAGCTGCAGCCGGGTTTGGATCCAGAACCGTCCTGGATCCTGCAGGGATCCTGATGATCCTCAGACAGACGGGAGGAATCAGTTTCCTCTCCAGGTGGATCCACAAAACGTTTCATCAGATTCAGGAGGTTTGATTAGAGCAGCATCCTGCTGTTAGCTTAGCATAAAGCACATAAACCCAGCTGCTCTGAGGAACCAGCAGCAGGTTAAAGTTAGAACCTAAAACAACAAAACGCTTTGAACAGAACGCAGGATGAACCACCGAGGGCGATGGTGACTCTGGAGGAGCTGCAGGGAGCCGAGGCTCCGCTCAGAGGAAACCCAGCTGTGAACTTTTCTACAGTCAGAAACTATTTCCGGGAAGAAAGAGTGAAATCCAGTATGAACGTGAGACTGGAGCAAGCAGCTTAGAGTGGCCTAGTTAAAGGCTGAATCTACATGCAGCTTTTTCTCAGCCGATCTGGAGGTTTTTCTCTCTGCTGCGTCTCTGCAGACCTGAAACCGTCTGTAAACAAACTGCTGAGGCAGCAGTTACTGTGTAGCAACAGCGCAGCGTTGTAGAAGTTGTGCTTCAGGGACGAGTTTGATGAAGATGAAGATGAAGATGTGAGGAGGATTTATCAGCAACGAAACGGTTTGAGTTCTCGTCTGCAGAGTTCAGTCAGATTCCTGAAAACACAGCTGGTGTGTGTGTGTGTGTGTGTGTGTGTGTGTGTGTGTGTGTGTGTGTGTGTGTGTGTGTGTGTGTGGTGTGTGTGTGTGTGTGTGATGAGCTAGCAGGTGGATGTGGCTAGCTCAGCTCTTTGTGGTATTTACTGATTACAGGAGAAGTTGAGGTCACGGCCTCTATAATTACAGCCTCTAATTGGCCGGCCTGAATGCCAGCAGCCAATCAGCTGCCATCAGGAAATTACAAGCTTGGATGTCAGAGTGTGTTTCTGTGTTTCTGTGTTTCTGTGTTTTTGTGTTTTTGTGTTTCTGTGTTTTTGTGTTTCTGTGTTTTTGTGTTTTTGTGTTTTTGTGTTTCTGTGTTTTTGTGTTTTTGTGTTTCTGTGTTTCTGTGTTTCTGTGTTTCTGTGTTTTTGTGTTTTTGTGTTTCTGTGTTTTTGTGTTTCTGTGTTTCTGTGTTTTTGTGTTTCTGTGTTTCTGTGTTTTTGTGTTTTTGTGTTTCTGTGTTTTTGTGTTTTTGTGTTTTTGTGTTTCTGTGTTTTTGTGTTTTTGTGTTTTTGTGTTTCTGTGTTTCTGTGTTTTTTGTGTTTTTGTGTTTCTGTGTTTTTGTGTTTTTGTGTTTCTGTGTTTTTGTGTTTTTGTGTTTCTGTGTTTTTGTGTTTCTGTGTTTCTGTGTTTTTGTGTTTCTGTGTTTCTGTTGTGTCCGCTGCAGCGCCACCATGAGGTCAGAGGACCAGAACCTGATGATGTTGAAGGAAATGAAGCAACAATAGAAACAAGCTGATTTTGACTTTTACTACATTTTGATGTTTAAAGATGAAAATAATGTTGAAATATTTTGAGAACTTCCATAACCTCCAGCAGAGGGCAGCAGAGCTTCCACAACTTAATAAAGTTGCTGTTGTTGCATTTCAGGAAATACAATACAAGGGCGACTGTGGCTGTGTGGCAGAGTTGTTGTCTTGCAATCGGAAGGTTGTAGGTTCAATTCCAGCTTCCTGCCACATGTCGATTTCCCTCTGGGCAAGGCACTTAACCCCAAATTGCCGACCAGTCTGCGTATCGGTGTGTGAATGTGGCTCTAGTGTAAAGCGCTTTGAGTGGTCAAAATGACTGGAAAAGCTCTATAAGTTCAGTCCATTTTTACAATGTTTATTTTCTTTGTTAAAAATGTATATTTTTTTTAATCCTGACCCTGAGTAACGAACGATTCGTGTTTTCCAGATTTGTCGGATAAGAAGAGCGATCTGCGCGTGTGCGACGCCGGAACGTGTCGCTTCGGCGGAACCTGCCGCGAGAACGGCGCCGACATCAAATGTGTCTGTCAGTTCCACGTAAGGCGGCACAGAGAGCGGCACAGAGAGCGCCCCCTGCTGGCAGCGAAGGATCAGCCCCACAGCATCCTGGGACGTTTTCATCTGTGATTCAAATGTTCTGAAATCTTCTTGTTTCTGTTTCAGTGCAACAAGAAGTTTGTTCCCGTGTGCGGCTCCAACGGAGACACGTACCAGAACGAGTGTTTCCTCCGCAGAGCCGCCTGCAAGAAGCAGAGAGCCATCAGCATCGTGGCGGAGGGAGCCTGTGACCACGGTAACACTCACCCTCTCACATCCACATCTCAAACCGGAAAGTTTTGCCTGAAATTACATTCTTCCTAAATTATTCATAAACCTGATCGTCGACTTCCTGCTGCCAAATCCGTCGTTTTGTCTCCACTGTCAGAGAATCGACTCCGATTCATCATCACACAGATTCTCACTGTCATGAAATAAAAAACATTTTACATTTGGAAAACTTTTATTTTAGCCAAATCGGCTGAAATAAAATCATCTGATGGTTTTCATTCTGATGAGAAAAACTTTTCTGTCTTTGAACTGAAACAGAAAAAAGAAGAAATTTTACAGAAAAATTACAACGAATAAAATTCAAAATGTGGAACATGAATGGATGAATGATGAATGGATGAATGATGAATGGATGAATGATGAATGGATGAGCGATGGATGGATGAATGGATGAATGATGGATGAATGGATGAATGATGAACGGATGAATGATGAACAGATGAATGATGAATGGATGAATTATGGATGGATGAATGATGAATGGATGAATTATGGATGGATGAATGATGAATGGATGAATGATGGATAAATGGATGATGAATGGATGAATGATGAATGGATGAATGGATAATGAATGGATGAATGGATGATGAATGGATGAATGATGAATGGATGAATGATGAATGGATGAATTATGGATGGATGAATGATGAATGGATGAATGATGGATAAATGGATGATGAATGGATGAATGATGAATGGATGAATGGATGATGAATGGATGAATGATGAATGGATGAATGGATGATGAATGGATGAATTATGGATGGATGAATGATGAATGGATGAATGATGAATGGATGAATGATGGATAAATGGATGATGAATGGATGAATGATGGATGGATGAATGATGAATGGATGAATGAGTGATGGATGGATGAATGATGGATGGATGGATGAATGGATGAATAACATCAGGTCTTCTCTGTGTTTGCCAGATGGAGGTTCTGGATCTGGAGTTGGAGGTAATTCATGTGTTCATCTCCTGGTTGTTTGTGCTGCAGATGAACTGATGAAGTGTTCTGGTTTCAGATGATGAAGGTTCTGGTCGAGGGAAAAAAGCCTCCAAATGTAAAAACTGCCGGTTTGGAGCCGAATGTGACGAAGACTCTGAGGACTTGCTGTGAGTTTCCTCTGACTCATTCAGTCGCCTCGGCCGCCATCTTGGACTCGTTCAGTCGCCTCGGCCGCCATCTTGGACTCGTTCAGTCGCCTCGGCCGCCATCTTGGACTCGTTCAAACGCTTTTCTCATTTTCCAGCTGCATGTGTAACATCGTGTGCAACGGACACAACGACAACCCGGTGTGCGGCAGCGACGGCCTGACCTACGACACGCCGTGCCACGTCCGCGAGGCGTCCTGCCTCAAACAGCTCAAGATCGACATCAAACATGTCGGCCGTTGCCAAGGTAACCGTCTCCAAACACTGAGAGAGGAAGAGGGGCACGATGGAACAGGGTCAAAGGTCAGGGGGAGAGGAAGAAACGGTGAAAACATTTTCAGTTCATTTGTATTGAATGACGACATGAAGCTGAAAACTCTGAACTTCCTGCTGATCGAGATTTCACTTCATCATCATCATCATCATTATCATCATCATAACCATCATTATTATCATCATCATTATCATCATCATCATCATCATAACCATCATCATCATTATCATCATCATTATCATCATCATTATTATCATTATTATCATCATCATCATTATCATCATCATTATCATCATCATCATCATCATTATCATCATTATTATCATTATCATCATCATTATTATCATCATTATCATATCATCATCATCATTATTAGCATCATCATTATCATCATCATCATTATCATCATCATCATTATCATCATCATTATTATCATCATCATTATCATCATCATCATTATCATCATCATCATCATCATGTCCTGAGGGAAGAAAGGTTTTGGGATTTTACTGAAGTCAGAGGAAGAAAACCTGTAAAATCAGGCAGCAAATAAATGGAAAGTTGAATAAAACAGGAAACAGACAGAAAGTCGGTTTTGTGTCAAAATAAACGTGAAGAAACATCTTCAGTCTGTGAAGATGTTTAAGAATCAACAACAATCATGGGAGACATTTCAAAAATCTGACGAAAACCTGATTTATTTTCTGCTATGATCTATGATGTCAGCAGTTTTTTTCTCTGCTAAAAGTCAAAGATGATTTGCTTTTTATTTTCTGTAAAACCAGAATATTTTTGTTTTGCTTTTTAGATAAAAACAGGAAAGACGACGCCTCAAAGGGGAAACCAGACATCTATGGTGAGCCGCCGCCGCTGTTTGCTGCGACAGCCAATCAGACATCAGAACTTTCTTCTTCTCTTGTCTCATGCAGGGGTGTCCAAGCCTGACGAGGGGAACGGCTTCCTGGACGGCGCTCTGCCCTGCCCTGCAGACGACGCCTCGACCTGCGAACACGGCCAGTGTGAGATGAGACACAACCAGCAAACCTGCAGGTGAGAATCCTGGGTTTACCCGACCAGAACCCCCATCTGGAGGTCCAGAACCCCCATCAGGAGGACCAGAACTGATCTAAAACCCCCATCAGGGGGTCCAGAACCCCCATCAGGAGGACTAGAACCCCCATCAGGAGGACCAGAACTGATCTAAAACCCCCATCAGGGGGTCCAGAACCCCCATCAGGAGGACTAGAACCCCCATCTGGTCCGATTCTCCTTGTTCCAACTAATTTCATACATTCAGCTTTTCCAATGATTATTTTTAGAGGCTGTTTCAGTAACCATGGTAACCAGCCTGTGTGTGTGTGTGTGTGTGTGTGTGTGTGTGTGTGTGGTTGTCTGTGTGTGTGTGTGTGTCTGTGTGTGTTGGTGTGTGTGTGTGTGTCTGTGTGTGTGTGTCTCTGTGTGTGTGTGTGTGTGTGTCTCTGTGTGTGTGTGTGTTTCTCTGTGTGTGTGTGTGTCTCTGTGTGTGTGTGTGTGTGTGTTTCTCTGTGTGTGTCTCTGTGTGTGTGTGTGTGTGTGTGTGTGTGTCTCTGTGTGTGTGTAGGTGTGATGCTGCATACGGCGGCCCCCGCTGCGACCAGCTGCTGGACTTTAACATCCTGTACGTTGTGCCCAGCGGCCAGAAGCTGCACTACGTTCTCATCGCCGCCATCATCGGAGCCGTCCAGATCGCCGTCATCGTTGCCGTGGTGATGTGCTTCACCAGGTACGCACACCTGCTGCACGTTCAATTCAGATCAGGTCAACATTTCTGAGAAACTGCACAGTTAAAGTAAGAACATGGATCAGCAAGCGGTGGATGCAGTGCCAGGTTCAGCCAGCAGGGGCCGACACATTTTCCTTTGAACAGAACAACTGATGTAGATAAAAGATATAATTTAAAAAAAGGTTTTTGTTTGAAAAAGTATTAAAAATGAATATATTGCTCTGGAACATCCAGAAGTAAATTTTTACAACCTTTAAATTCCTTTTGGGTTTTATTCATTTCTGAAGTATCGTTTATTTTGGCTGCACTTTATTAATTTATTATTAATTATTGAATGAATTAATTCAGTTTTTTTGCGCATGCTCGCTGTCATGCACTTCCTCTCCGGTCCTGCAGGAGGTGCAACAAGTCGAAGCGTGGCCGCAGACAGAAGCAGCATCTGGGCCACTTCCCGTCGGGAACGTCTTCTCGGATGATGTGATTTTCCCTCCTCATGTTTTTATAGAAATCCAACCAGTCCGGTTTTCGTATCACAGACAGACTGCAGTTTTATATCGACTTCCTGGTGCCTCTTTTATTATTTCCCCCTTTTTTAAAGTATTTTATTTCTGATTTCTTAGAGGGGCCTTATTTGTCAGACTTCCCTTTATGTTTTTGTCTGTCCAGCTGCTTTCTGAACACTGTGGACCCAACAGGAAGCAGAACCTTTATTTATCTGATTGTATCGTTGCTGCAGCGCCACCTTCAGGCTGGTGCCCTGCAGGTTTTGGTTTCCACGCTGTGGGACGCAGCATGACTCTGTTCACTGTTTGCTTTAAGAATCTTGTTAGATTCTTCCTGTGGGATATAAAACACAACCAGGTTAAATCTGAAATATTCTGCTTGAATATTTGATCGTTGCTTAAACATTCCAACATCTGATTTTATTACTATGATGACATTATTTTTGTTTCCTTTAATAAACCAGAAAATCCCCTTTGGATGATCCAGGTTAGGAATGAACTGACCAGAATGACGGATTTTAGTTTTTTTTTGACTGATTTTGTTTTTTAAACTCATGAAGGATAAAAAAGCTGAAGGTTATTTTTTATGATGTTGATCTTTGAAATCCAACTGAAAAGTAGAGAATAATAAGTTCATCCTTTGAAGTGCGTCTGTTTCAGTTGAATCTTCCCATTTTGTTTATGCCTGATAATAGTTTTATATCTGATATTATTATAGTTCCTCTGGAAAGCAAAATTATGTTCTTGTTGCAGATTTAACGTTTTTCCTTTTAATTCAAAATAAATCTCAGATTTATCTGTTTTGGCTAAAAGTAAAGCTTTGTTACAGTTTAATTCTGTCAGTCACTTTTATCAGGCCCTACGTGTTGTGAGGCCTTTGGCCTCCAGGGGGCGCCCTGTACCTGATGATTGGGGCCCCATGGCGCTCTGCTGTTTGTTTTCTGTTTCGCTGCGTCTCACAGGGTCACAACTGAAAATGAAACATTTAACTTTGTTTTTATTCTGTGTTTGTTATGAGATGCACCTGAAAACCAAAATGCTGTTTTTTCTACTGCTTAAGATTTAATGAGGTACAAGCTAACGTGTACAGGTTGTTATTTTTATTTTTATTTTTATTGGTGCTTCATTTCCGGAAATGGATACGGATGTTTTTGTGCATTTGAACGAGCCGAGGATAATTTAAAATGCTTGTTTTTCATATAATAATTTGTAACAATGGTACGAAGTGTTTTATTGTGGTAGGAAGATCGATAAGCTGGCCGCAGGCTCCTTCGTGTTCGCTGACCAGGGGTCAGAGGTCACTGGGATGTGGATCCTGCAGGAACTGGGCCTGGTTTTGCTGTAGATGTTGCGTCCTGCATGAACCAGTGAAGTTGTTAGACTGTGCTGTAGCTGAACTAGAATTAAATTATGATGTTTGAACCTCTGGGTCTTTGTTTTCTGTTCTCTGCATATTAAAATAAAAGATCTGCACAGGGTTCTGCTGCAACAGTTAAAATGTTGAGTAAATAAATCAGATCAGATCAGAAGTGTTGAGGTAAGAACATTTTAAAGTGCAGTTACTTTGCAGTCAGTCTTCATGTGTCTGTAGTTTTTGGCTGTTGATTTGATTCAGGCTGAACTGAGGTTTACAGATTCAACATGAAGATTAACTGAACCGGCGATTTCTGCAGCACAAAGGTAATTATTATAATTCATAAACGTTTCCTACACAAAATTAATTCTTGGTGTTTTTAAACCTGAAGAAGATTATATGCTTATAGAGTTAAATAATTATAAATCTGTTCTATTGATGGCAAAGATAAAGCAATTAGTGAAGTTAGTGTAACATTATGATTAGTTATGGACAATCATAATTTTATTGATCTGTAGAATAAATTTTCCTTTTTCTTTACTGAATCTGCTGCTGGTGTGTAAAACCAACAACTGAAGAGAATCAGAAAATCGGTGCCAATAATCTGTCCAGGTCTGCGGCATGAAGGTGGATAAATATAGAGATGTTGGCAGGATAATTATAGGCAGCAGCTGGTGGAGGTTTAACCGGCGGGGATTCCCCTCCGTTTGATTCCTTCCCTCTTGTTTTCCTCCTAGCACCTGTTCTCATCAGGTTTTTATCTCTCAGCTGCTCTACAGGCTTTCAGTAAATGTTTCAATTGTTTTTGTCTCCACAAAGTGTCGGTGAAGAACCTGCATCAGTTTACAAAAATGCTCATTTAAGAAATTATAAACACTCTTTCTTCTAGTAATAATTCTAATATTATAGCGCAGCAGCTAAAGTTAAGGGAACTGTAAAAACACTTGATAAAAAACAGATTTTAGCAGTTAGCTATGAGAGCTGCAGTCTTCTGATAGAAGAACATGTAAAATATTGATCAGGTAATTTAATATTACATGTATAGTTGCAGTACCACTGTTGGCCTCTATAGGCTCACATGATCTCAATGTTTCATTCATTTAGTTTTTGATTCAGATCAATAAACAACGTAATAATTTCAGTGTTTGTTAAATAAATAGTAAAATATTTGAACTTATGTTTCGTTTACTTTGTAAGACGTCTGAACTTTTTGCTCCTCCCACTACAGGCCCCGCCCCTTTTGGACCATTTTTAAGTACCTGCTTTCCACCAAGATGGCAGCCATGCCGTCTATGTGCCCTAAGAATGTTTTAATGAAACCCGGGCTTTCAGCTGTTCAACAACAAGAAGGTCTAAACTGGAGCGAAGGATTATGGCAGTGAAAGTTTGATGGATGGATGGATGGATGGATGGATGGATGGATGGATGGATGGATGGATGGATGGATGGTGGATGGATGGATGATGGATGGATGGATGGTGGTTGGATGGTTGGATGGTGGTTGGATGGTGGTTGGATGGTTGGATGATGGTTGGATGGTGGTTGGATGGTGGTTGGATGGTGGATGGATGGTGGTTGGATGGTGGTTGGATGGTTGGATGGTGGTTGGATGGTGGTTGGATGGTGGTTGGATGGTGGTTGGATGGTGGATGGATGATGGTTGGATGGTGGTGGGATGGTGGTTGGATGGTGGATGGATGGTGGTTGGATGGTGGTTGGATGGATGATGGATGGATGGATGGATGGATGGATGGTGGTTGGATGGTGGATGGATGGATGATGGATGGATGGTGGTTGGATGGTGGTTGGATGGTTGGATGATGGATGGATGGTGGATGGATGGTGGTTGGATGGTGGTTGGATGATGGTTGGATGGATGGTGGTTGGATGATGGTTGGATGGTGGTTGGATGATGGTTGGATGGATGGTGGGTTGGATGGTTGGATGATGGTTGGATGGTGGTTGGATGATGGATGGATGGTGGTTGGATGGTGGTTGGATGGTGGATGGATGGTGGATGGATGGTGGTTGGATGGTGGTTGGATGATGGTTGGATGGTGGTTGGATGGTGGTTGGATGATGGTTGGATGGTGGATGGATGGTGGTTGGATGATGGTTGGATGGTGGTTGGATGGTGGTTGGATGGTGGTTGGATGGTTGGATGGTGGTTGGATGGTGGTTGGATGGTGGATGGATGATGGTTGGATGGTGGTGGGATGGTGGTTGGATGGTGGATGGATGGTGGTTGGATGGTGGTTGGATGGATGATGGATGGATGGATGGATGGATGGATGGTGGTTGGATGGTGGATGGATGGATGATGGATGGATGGTGGTTGGATGGTTGGATGGTGGTTGGATGGTTGGATGGTGGTTGGATGGTTGGATGGTGGATGGATGGTGGTTGGATGATGGTTGGATGGTGGATGGATGGTGGTTGGATGGTGGTTGGATGATGGTTGGATGGATGGTGGTTGGATGATGGTTGGATGGTGGTTGGATGATGGTTGGATGGATGGTGGTTGGATGGTTGGATGATGGTTGGATGGTGGTTGGATGATGGATGGATGGTGGTTGGATGGTGGTTGGATGGTGGATGGATGGTGGATGGATGGTGGTTGGATGGTGGTTGGATGATGGTTGGATGGTGGTGGATGGTGGTTGGATGATGGTTGGATGGTGGATGGATGGTGGTTGGATGATGGTTGGATGGTGGTTGGATGGTGGTTGGATGGTGGATGGATGGTTGGATGATGGTTGGATGGTGGTTGGATGGTGGTTGGATGGTGGATGGTGGTTGGATGGTGGTTGGATGGTGGATGGTGGTTGGATGGTGGTTGGATGGTGGTTGGATGATGGTTGGATGGTGGTTGGATGGTGGATGGTGGTTGGATGGTGGTTGGATGGTGGTTGGATGGTGGTTGGATGGTGGATGGTGGTTGGATGGTGGTTGGATGGTGGATGGATGGGGTTGGATGGTGGTTGGATGGTGGTTGGATGGTTGGATGGTGGTTGGATGGTGGTTGGATGGTGGTTGGATGGTGGTTGGATGGTTGGATGGTGGTTGGATGGTGGATGGTGGTTGGATGGTGGTTGGATGGTTGGATGGTGGATGGATGATGTTTGGATGGTGGTTGGATGGTGGTTGGATGGTGGTTGGATGTTTGGATGGTGGATGGATGGTGGTTGGATGGTGGATGGATGATGGTTGGATGGTGGTTGGATGGTGGATGGATGGTGGTTGGATGGTTGGATGGTGGTTGGATGGTTGGATGGTGGTTGGATGGTTGGATGGTGGTTGGATGGTGGTTGGATGGTGGTTGGATGATGGTTGGATGGTGGTTGGATGGTGGTTGGATGGTGGAGGAGACATGCTGGGCTTGGTGAGTCATTTTCCGTCTGCAGTATTTTTAGCAGAGGAGAAAAGAGAGAAACTGGGAAACATTCAAGTCTTTTTCAGTCACAGGTCTGAACAAACATTCTGTCTGCTTCTCTGAGACGTTGCAACATTTTAGTCTTTATGCCAATAAAAACTTGCTGTAAGATCAATACAGATCAATAAGATCATTCCTGATCAATATTTGTGTCTTGTTTCTTTGAAATCTACAAATATATTTTGAACGTGTTGATGTCAGTAAAGCTCCTTCATCCTGTTGTTGTTTCGTTGGATCGGGTTCCTCCAGCTCCTCCCTGCCAGGTCCAACAGGGTGGAGTCTTTAACTTGACACCATCAGGGTCAGCCTCCAGCTGCAGAGGGTGATCTGGTCCTTCTCGCTGTCTCTCCTCTACTGGATCCCAACACCTCGACCCTCATGCTGTGGTTCTTGGTTCTTTATCACCACTGACTTTCACAGATTCTGCAGGGCTTTCATCTCCCTTCATCTCTTCTTCATTTCCATTCGGATCATTGAATTCAAGCGACCGACTGACCAGGTCGTTGAAAAACCAGCGAGCAGCAAGAATGACGGACAAAGCGGTCTTGCCACCCGGAGGTGGAGATGATGCCGGCGGCGTCATGGCGCTGCTGGAGCGCGTGGCGGGCCTCATGGACAACGTTCAGGCCACACAGCAGCGCATGGAGGAGCGTCAGCTGGAGCTGGAGAACACAGTGAAAAGCATCCAGGCCGACGTCGTCAAACTCACCAACGATCACGCAAACACCAGCTCCACGGTCAGCCGGCTGCTGGAGAAGACCCGCAAGGTCAGCTGCCACATCAAGGACGTCAGGGTGCGGGTGGAGAACCAGAACCTCAGGGTGAAGAAGGTGGAGGCCACGCAGGGAGACCTGCTCGCCAAGAACAAGTTCAGGGTGGTCATTTACCAGGTGAGGCTCGCTGGACCAACATTTCAACTGTTTGGACATCCTGATGCTTCATTGGCTCTGGAAAAACTTCTGAAATTCTGTTTAGCAAAGTAATGATTGCATTGGGTAACGATCTTAATGTCAGCCGCATGGAAAACACCGAGAGCGAGAGACTGGCTACATCTGCACCAACAGTCCCAACGTAGCGAATTAGACGAGTTTGGAAACGTTTGGAGCATCAGCTGATCGGATCAATCAGCTGATCGGATCAATCAGCTGATCGGATCAATCAGCTGATGGGTGGATTGATCAGCCAGTTACTGTTCTAACACTGAACCGACTCAGACGCAAAGAAAAGTTTCACATCCGATTCAAACTGCTTTTAGAAACACAGCAGAAGGTCAAACCTGTTAAAACACAAATTTGTTCAGTTTCTAATGAGAAGATTATATTAATCATGTTAACAAGAGGAGAATAATTCATATAAGTGACATACAGAAGGATTTTCCTCTCTGTGAAAGACAAAGTTTGTTTCATCAGAATTTCATTAAATATCTCCAGATTCTCTCCAGACTTTTAGAAAAAGTTTGGGGGAAATTTGTCTTTGCTTTTATGTCTTTTAATCTGAGTTTATTTAATATGAATGTTGAAGGACAAACGTCATCAGGCCTCATTTGACTTCTTCTCAGTCAGCAGCTGCCAACATGACGGCGACTCGGTTATTTTAGTTCTGCTGCTCAGATCTGAGCTGTTCATGAGTTTATTAGAGAAATAAAACTTTTTGGCTGCTTTAAATCAATCAGTTACATTTTGAAACCATTCTTTGGACGGATGTTGCAGCTCTGAATGAAAATAACATCAGTGTGACGTTTGGATGTCGTACTGACACAATTACCTGCACAATATTCAGCAATAGCTCCAAGAACGTTTCTATAATTACTTTGTTTTTCCTTTAATTAAGATGTTCCCATGGAAAAAAGCTCAAATCCAGACATGCATGTAAAGTAAGACCTACAGAAAAACCATTTGATATTCAGACTTGGCTGCATCCCTCCATCATGTCTCAGACCTGAAGGAAGGAGTTGTTAGCCAAATATAAACATCCCAAAGTTACTGTTGAGACAGAGCAGCATGTGTTGAGCCCCAGAGCTGCTGTGATATAACTGACTGTGCCAGCTGAGAGCTGACGGTCCGAGTTATTCTGAGTCGGAGCCTCCAGCATCTCCTAATATAGAGCTCTGCTCATCCCTGCTAATCTCTGGCCAATCGGTTCTTTTCATTTTGCTCTGATGGCAGGTTGAAGTTGAACTGATCAGTGAAACATGTTATGCATTTGCTTGGAGTAAAATGAATTGATATAGATTTATCAAGGTGATTGTCTGAGTTAAATGACTGAGGTTATTTAAGTCTGAAGTTTCATCGCAGGCGGCGAACACCATGCTGCAAGTTTCATTGTTCTTGACTAAACCTTAGTTCATAATTTAGTTTCCTTTATGATGCAACTTATTGTTGCTTTTCTTTGGACAATAATCTAACAGTAACCCAGTCGTCCAGGTGAAGATTCCTGACTTTGCTAGCTGGCAGCTTGTTAGCAGCTTAAGCTATGTGTTCACTTACTGTGCAGCTCAGTTATGGCCGGCATGCATCCTGACTAAGGCCGGGAAATGTCAGCCTATCAGGTGTCTTGTGGCACCAGTCAAAGATGTTGATTCTCCCATTAACATGATTCCAATTTACTGGTTTATGACGATTCATGTCATCATTATTCCAGTAAGACTTAAAGAAACTTCACGTTCCTGGAATCACAGAACAGATGTTTTATTATCTCTGTGGGTTCTGGGTTTTCTGACAGGTCAGCTGGTTGCTTATCAGAACATTTATGGCCTTGAAAGTTCATTTTGTCCATTTGGCTCCATCAATTGTTTAGTTACATATTTATTTTATAAATAGGGATTTTTGTTGGATTGTTTCGGATCAGAAATGTCATTGTGACGTTAACTTCTACGGTTGATCCAAACATTTAGTCTGTTTACTTGCTACCAGTTAGATTCCCTTTCCTCTCATGGTATGAATGAGTGAAGTCTGATTAATCATGAATCAGTTTCTGCTCATTCTTCAACATTTTCCTGAAACCTGACCAGTTGCACATTGTGATGCAGCTGGACATGGAAGCTGCAGCTCACGGATATGTTTAGCTTCCTGCAGCTCAGCGCTGAGCTGCACAAACAGGTGCTGCAGTTTATTTCTGGATGCAGGACCAAGACCTGCACACGGACCCCTCCAGTCTGGATGACACATTGTGACCAGCGACAGATTTAAACCCGACGTCATTATTAAACTGTCTGAGAAAGAAAGTCAGTGCAAAGGTTTGTCCTGCAACATCTAGATGCTGATATTTGATATTTCTGTTTCTCAGGGTGACCAGGAAGTCAAAGCTGTCACAGCAGGTAACGAGCCGGCAGAGTCCAGCGGCGGCGCTGCGGCAAGACCTGAGGTGGAACCAGACAAGTTTGATCTTCCTCCAGAGTCGGACGAAGAGTACATGGTTGTGGAGGAAGCAGACACCTCATCAGCCGGCCGGATGAAGAAGACAGGCTTGACACGCATCGAGAGCTTCAAAGCCACCTTCTCCAAGGAGAACATGAGCAAGACCCGAGAGAACCTGGGCACCAAAGTCAACAAACTCGGCGAGCGAATCGTAACGGCTGAAAGGCGCGAGAAGATCCGCCAATCAGGTGAGAAGCTGAAGGAGACCTTCACCAAGACCGTCCCAGCGAAGCTGAACCTGAAGAAAGAAAGGACTGTGGCTGAGGGTCAGGAAGGAGCGGAGGGAGCTGCGGAGGCCGCCGTTCCAGTTCCTCCTCCTAAAGGCCGGAAGAGCAGCCCAGGAGCAGCCCGGCCGGCTGACCACCAGGCCAAGGCGGCCGAGTCCGAGGTTCCCATGTACGACATGAAGCAGCTGTCATAAATCAGGACAGGTGGACAGTTTTCTTTGGACCTGAGACCAGAGAGAGAGCAGGGATGTAGTTCTGCTGGATGGAGGAAAGTCTATGATTGTGGAAACTGTAGAGAAACGAGCAACAAGCAGATCGAGTCACATTAACATGACTGAACATTAAGACAAGAACAGATTGTTTGATGCTGAGTGTTTTCAGAATATTCACATCACATCCACAGGATTTGGTCATTTTTGTTTTGAGTTATGATTGAAATGTTTGAGGACTTCATCACCAGCTGCTGCTGCTGCAGCTGCTGCTGCTGCAGCTCACTAATTTGCATGTTGAAGTTGAAATGTTGGACGAAATGAGTTTAACGTTTTGTTCTTAAATATCTTGAAAAATGAGGGAAAGTGAAGTAAAATAAAGTGGATTTCTTTGTTTGGAAGTAACAGGATTTGATGGTTTGCTCTTGCAGAAACGTTTGTAGATTTTCAGATTTGTCAAGAAACAACAAAAACTTAAAATGCTCACATAAAACAACAACATCCAGATTACAGTTTATACATCAAATTTGAACTGATTCCTCTAACTTGTAGGTTTTTCCAAGTTTGTTTGGATTCTACACATAATTGGAAGGTAAATTTTTATTCAATCTGAATTACAAAGTGCAAACATATTTACTGGATATAGAAATGAAACTTTCTTCATCTTGGTTTTATCATAATTTTTTCTTAAGGGGGCGTTTTTAAAAATAAAAGCGGTTGTGTTATACTATTTGTATGTTGTAGTCTTACAGATAAAAATATTCCACTTGAAGATGGAATAAAATAAGAATAAAATCTAACTTGTCCAGTTTTGAACAGAGAGAGAAGCAACAACTAAAGGCAAATAAAGCAAAGTGTTGCTGAATGTTTTGGTTTTATTGAATTATTAACTAAAGATTGAGTTTTACTCTGAATATAATGTATTTGCACCATTGGCAGATTAAGAGTTAACTGTGATTAGCACAATTGTTCATCAATTTCATCAGTGATTCCTTTATTATCTAGCAATAATATAATATTATTGCTAGATAATAATATAATATTATTGCTAGATAATTAAAGAATCACTGCAACTGAACTCATTTGACATCATGAACCTATAAAAAAGTAATGCTTCATGCATCATATCTAATGATGATATGAGAATCATATCAGCTGGTTGATGAGGTTACAAAGGTTCTTTGACTCCTAGGATGTTTTAGATTTAACCTTGAGAGAGTGTGAAATAAAAATATTCATTCTTCTTCTTCAAAACTTTATTTATGTTTTAACGTGAGGTACAATGTGAAGGCAGTACAATAGTTACACAGTTAATGTACCTTTAACCTACAAACCTAATAGGGCTAGAATGAACCCAAACATACCCAAATATATACAGACATGAAATACATCAAGTGGATCAGATCAGAGTAAATAGAAACAGATACATCAATAATAAAATAAATAAAAAAACACTGGTGGCAGGGGATACTAGAGTCAGTAAATCAGTCAAACTAGAGAAGGAAGATAGAAGAAAAAGAGACATAGGTAAAAATGATAAACCTCAGCTACATACGTACCACCTCATCATTCAGGGACATTAGAGAAATGGATCTCTGTAAGGGTTCTTAACAGGGGGCTCCACAAATCCAAAAATCTCATAGAAGAGCCTCTTAAAGTAAACCGAATTTTCTCAAGTTTAATGAAATACAACGTATCTCGAAGCCAGTGGACATATGATGGAGGTTGAGGCGACTTCCATTTCATTATAATCACTCTCCTTGCCAAAAAGGTCAGAAATGCGAAAGAAGATTTCTGAAAGGAGGAGCAACTCCAAACAAAGCAGTCAATGGGTCAAGCTGCAATTTCTTGTCAAAAATGTCTGACAGGAAAGCAAAAACTTTGGACCAATAGTTGAAAAGTTGAGGACAAAACCAAATAGTGTGGATCAGATTGGCTGGAGAACGTTGGCATCTATCACAGGCAGGAGAGACATTGTTGTAAAACTTGGCTAGCTGTGCTTTAGTGTAATGCTGCGATATGCAAGTTTGCATTGAAGGTGATTATGTCTGGCACAAATAGATGATTTATGCTCTAGCGACAGAATGTGTGTCCAGAGATCCTCTGAAATGGCCTGTCCGAGGTCTTCCTCCCAACGTGATTTAAAGGAGTTCAGAGATTGAGGGCGTAGAAGCGTAATTTGATTATAAATAAAAGATATGGCTCCTTTCAATTTGGCAGTAGGTTTTAGAAAACTAACGGTGAATCCCTGGGAAGGTTGGAAAATTTGAATAGGTAGAGCGGACAAAGCTGCGTACTTGCAAGTATTTAAAAAATTGGTGGCGTGGGATATCAACCTTCTCAGAAATTTGTTGAAATGAGGCAAAAGTATTATCAATATACATATCCTGAAAAGTTGCAATTCCTATTCTCTGCCATGAAAGGAAGATACAATCTGTGAGAGATGGTGGAAAGGCATGATTTGAGGCTATAGGGGCATGGACAGAAAGAGAAAAATATTTCATTCAAATCAAGAAAATATTCTTCCTCTAACTCAGGGGAGCTCAAGTCCAGTCCTGGAGAGCTACCGTCCTGCAACTTCTGGTTGCAGCCTCACTCCAGTAGACCAGGCTCAGCTATGAACAGGCCTGGTAACGAGTCATTCATTTGATTCAGGTGTGTTGGAGCAGGGATGCATCTGATAGTTGCAGGATGGTAGCTCCAGGACTGGACTTGAGCACCCCTGCTCTAACTGAAGAAAACATCACTGACTCACTGAGCTGTTTGCAGCAGCAGCAGATAAAGTCAGCAGAGCTTCACAAGAATGAAGAGAAAATATCTCAAATAGAAAAACATCCAGGAACCACATGAAGATAGAGCAAAATGCAGCCAAGAAACTATTGAATTGGACTTTATTTCATATTACTTGGTTAAAAGCTCAAAACAAATCAAAGGGAAAAAAAAGTAATATCTGAGGATCAGCAGGAAACAGAGACGATTCTCTTCTTTACACAGATCATCAGAACCTGCAGAGAGAAGCAAGACGCACAGATCAGATCAGTGAGTTTCCAGCTTCTCTCCAGCAGCAGTCAGTGACGCAGCACATCCAGTAGAAACAGCAGCAGGGCCTTCAGTCCTGATCAGAGCAGCTTCCTTTCAGCTCTCATCTTAACGTGTTGCAGTGAACACACTGAGCTCCAAGCTCACACACCTACACACACTTTCAGCATCCAGTCTGCTTCCTCTGCAGGTTCCACTCAAGTCCACAGTGGAAACAAACTGCTGAGAGTCTGAAGGCTTCACTGCTGCAGCTGCTGCTGCATTTAGACACAAACTGCTGCTGATGAACGTCTCATCTGCTGCTGGAACATCAGCTGACTGTCCAACATGGAGGCTGTCCCTGAACACATCTGATGAGACTGAGGACAGGAGGACACATGTCCAGATGGGAGGAGTGGACTTGGGCAGAAAGAGCAGCTGCTGACTAAATGAATGATGGTTTGTGAAATCAGAGCCAGTGGTTTCCAGGCTGCAGTCAGACTGATCTCAGAGCTGTGACCAACATCAACCTGATCACTTGTTTCCTGTTGAACTGAGAGAACAAGCAGGTCTGAGATCAGATCTGCTGCTGCCACAGGTTGATGAATGAGGACCACTGTCTCTAGACATGTTGGACGGCTGGACGCTGGAGTCCAGCTGGACTTCCTGGAGACACGGACACAGCAACACAAACACAGGAACACAGCAAGCTGCTGCTGCTCTGATTGGCTGATTGCTGTCTCTGTGTCCAATCAGGAAGCCTGAACCATTCTCCTCCCACTGAGAAGCTGCAGCTTTACTGGGAACACTGGAGCTTTGCTTGATAGGAACTGGTTTAGTTCAAGATGCTGACAGCAGCTGGACTCAATGAAAACATTTACTTACTGAACATTTTACAAAACGCTTCAACTGCTGAATGTCTGAATCTTTCAGGTTGTTTCCTCTCAGGTCCAGTTGAGTCAGATGGGAGGGGTTAAAGGTCAGAGCTGAGGCCAGAGAAGAACAGCTGATCTCTGACAAACTGCAATCGATCAACCTGAATAAAGAATAAAAGATGTGAGCTGAAGCCAACAGGATGCAGGTTAAAACTGAAATATCAACAAATTAATAATAAAATGTAGAAAATTAATTTCACTGAATGTAAAAGTGAAACATGATGAACTGATGTTTAATATTTGATCCAGTAAAACTGGTTTATAGAGTCCAAACCAGCAGAACCAGAACATGTTATTATGACGTGTTGTTAGAATATTTCAGTGGTTCTGGTCGGGAATTAAAACTCTAATATTTCATTTCAGATTCATTTTAAATATCAATCTGATTCCTGATGTTTCTACATCTGTTCATCTTTACAAGTTAATAAAGTTTGTGGTTTTATCAATGATGGTTTATTGATCATTTGATGATCAGAAGGTCAGAGATGTGGATGAACATCATTATTTAGTGAATTAAGCCTCAGTCTGTCTTGGACATAAAGACATTTTATCAGATTTTATATCTGATTATTTGTGGATATTAAGACATTTAATGATCCTAATATCAGAGTTTTATCAGCCTTTATTCTCCAATCTGACCTTTGACCTTCTCTCTGCAGGTGTGGTTGGTGTGTGTGAAATGAAGGCTGTGATTGGTTGAATGTGATGGTGGGAGGAGGAACTGCTTGTGCTTTTATAATACAGAGAAACTTTAACTGGATCAAACCATAGAAGAAGAAAACCGACTTTGCCATGAATTCAGAGTGGATCAGTAGAATATCAGCCATCTGTCTGCAGTTTAATGGCAACACAACTTTCACATCAGAAACATTAGATCCAGACTGAAACATGGTTTCTTACATTAATCGTTGTATTCTGCACTGAGGATTCTGTAGAAAACCACAGAGCTCCTTCACTCCAGAATCCGTCAGGATGTTGTAGCTCAGGTCCAGTTCAGTCAGATGTTGGTTGGACTTTAGAGCTGAGGCCAGAGAAGAACAGCTGATCTCTGACAAACTGCAGCCCATCAATCTGAATAAAGAATAAAAGATGTGAGCTGAAGCCAACAGGATGCAGGTTAAATCTGAAATATGAACAAATTAATAATAAAATGCAGAAAATTTCACTGAATGTAAAACACGATGAACTGATGTTTAATATTTGCATACGTAAAACAAAAGTTACGTATGCAACTATGGTTTTATGAAGTCCGGATGATGGCCAGAGGGCCAGAGGCGTATGCGCTGTTCGAGCAATAATATCAACAGAGTCACACCTGTGACATATTGGACGAACAATCAGAGGCAGTATAGCATGAAGTTATCCGAGGCTCTGTTCCAACAGAATCTTCTCACGAAATGCAAGTATTCTGAGTGACAAAGCATCTCTGCTGGTCGTCCGGGATTCATAGAACCGTAGTTACATATTCGACTTTTGTTCTATTTTATCCCTATTGACCACCAGAGGGCGATGCTGAAAGCACTGAATGACTAATACCACAGATGTCGCAAGGAATCCTGAGCACAAACCTCACTGAGAAGACAATGAGAGGAGGCCACATTCACATTGTAAAATCTAGTGAATGCTCAGAGAAGCCCATGATGCAGCAGCACATATAGCTTCCAGTGGAACTCCTCTCTCAAGGCTGCCCAGGAAGTGGAAACACTCCTGGTCGAGGGAGCCTTTAAACCAGCTGGCCAGGACTGCAGTGTAGGCATGGAAAAACACCCACAATCCAATGGGAGAGACACTGTTTGGACAGAGGACAACCTTATCTAGAGCCCCATAACATAAGAACAGCTGGTCTGAGTGTCTTATAGCAGCACTGGCTGCAATATATGCCTCCAGTGCCCTTACTGGGCACAGTATTATC